ACAGGGCTGTAGTCCACCCTGGCAAGGAAATGCTGCAGGCTTGTAAAGCATGGTGACAGGAACAGGAGGCTGGCTGGTCATATCGCATCCTCACTCAGGAAGCAGAGGGTCAACAGGAATTGGAGATGGACCATAAAGTCTTAAGGCTCACCTTCAGTGATTCACTTCCTCCAGTGAAGTCCCACCTTCTACAGATTCAATAACCTTTCCAAATTGTCCAGTCAGTTAGAGACTAAATGATTAAACACATGAACCCACTGGGGACATTTCACTTTCAAACTATAACACATACTAAATTCCACCATGATCAAGTAGAATTTGTCTTTGAGATAAAAGGAAGTTTCACCACACACAAATCAAATGATGTAACATATATTTACCAAATAAAAGACAAAAACATATGACCATTTGAATAGATACAGAAAGTATATTTGACAAAATATCAATATTTTTTCATGATAAAACAAATACTTCTTAGCAAACCAAGAAGATAGGCAACAGAACAGGAAACAAAAACAATTAACTAAAAATATTTTTTGCCATAAATAAAGCAATCAACAAAGCAAAACAGCAGCCTACAGAGTAAAGAGAAAATTCATAAGCCATGTGCACAATAATGAGTTATTCAAAACATATACAGAATTCAAAAACTCATTAGGAAAATAAGTGCCAAGCACCTGAATAGACTTCCTCCCAAAATAAAAAAACAAAACAAAACATATAAATGGCCAGAAGGTATGAGAAAAGATTAACCATAAATGAAACACAAATTAAAACCTCAAGGATATTTTACCCTTCAATTGTTATGATCGCCTTTATCAAAAAGCTAAGAGATTCATATCACAAATGTTATAAGTTGCTTTAAGAAAAAGAAGCCCTTGTATATTGTTGGTTGGGATATAAATTTTTAGCCATTCATTACAGAAAATAAAAATTAAAGATAGAATTACTATATACTCTAATATCCCCAGTCCTTAGAAATAAAATTGCTTTCTTGAGGCAATAATTCATTCCCATAATTTATTGCAACATAATTTGCAATAACCAAAACACAGAACCCTAAAGTATCTGCAGCCGAAAGAACGGACAAGGAAATAAAAGAGACACGAGTACATACAGAGTGATATATGCAGACATGCACATTATAAAAGTGTCCAGTCTTAAAAAAAACAAAAAGAAGAAAGTTCATTTGCAGCACGTTGGAAAACCTCTAGGGCATCATATTTGGTAAAATAGGCAAGAGAGAATTTTATGCTTTCATGTATATGTGAAGCTAGAAAAAAGTTGAACTCATAGTAATAGAGAGTAGGATGGTGTTTACTAGGGACTTAGGGGTGGGAAAATGGGAGTCAGAGTATATAAGCATTCAGTTATAGGCAGAATCGGTTTGGGGGACCTAATGACAACATGGCAACCATTGTTGCTATGTATTAATGCAACTGCTGAGTGTAGATCTCAAGTATTCGCAAGCGCATTCAGATAACTATGTGAAGTAAACACATATTGAGTCTTGACTACGGGTTATTTCCTACAGTTAGGTCAAGCTGTCACTCTGTGCACCTGTTATGATCTAGATGTCAACAGGCAGCCAAAGGGTTTCCATAGTAAGCCTTGGTCTCCAGCCAGTGAGCCCAATCCCAGAGAGATGACTGGATCAGGAAGACTCTGACCTCAGCAGTGGATAGCTGTCTGATGGCGTTGTTGGGATGGTGTGGGGACTGAGTGGGGGCCTGGTTGAAAAAAGCAGGTCACCATGAATATGCCTTTGAGGGGTGTATCTTGTCCATAGCCTTTTGCCTGTCTCTCTCTGCTTCCTGGCTACTATGCAGCAAGCATCTTTGTCCACCCAATGCTCTTGGCTGTGACATTCTGCCTTACCTTGGGTCCAAAAGTAATGGAGTCAACTGACCATGGACTAAAACCTCTGAAACCATCACTCAGAATACATCTTTTCCTCTTTTAAATTGTTTCTATCAGATAAATGTCACCGTGGCTAAAAGGCTGACAGCACGATAACCTAAATATATAGTGTTTGTCGATTGTACCTTATAAATCTGAGGGGAAGCACAGAGACACTGACTCACCTTTCATTCCTCCTCTGGGAGGAGCAGGATGAGAGTCCTTGACAACCTAGTTCAGCCTTGTCTCAACTCTTCATCAATAAAGTTGAAATTAAAGATCTGAGGAAATTAATGCAACAACCTGCTAGAATGCAATACCTAAATGAACAGAATCACGTACAAATCTGCACTTTTTTTTACCATTTTCCTAGAACCAACTTTTAGATGAGGAGTTGCATCTGAAAAGGTCTGGGCAATTTCACAGTAACTGCTATAAATCACCAAAGTACGTTTCCAGAAGGGTGGCCACAACTTAAATTCCACCTGCAAGAGGGTGAATATAAGCGTTCTGATTTCACCCTCTTCACCTACGTTTAATTAAAAAATAAATAAAAATAAAAACTTAATTAATATGCAAGGTAAGTTCTGATTGGCCATTAAGAGTTAACTTCCAAATTCATTTGGACTTTTAAACAGACCCAGCAGCTTACCTGAATTTACTGTGGTCCAACTCCTGTAAGAAGCCAGGAGGTAGAAACTCACTATTAGGTGGAGAAAAAGATACATTTGCAGCAGACACACAGATGTGAGATTTTTTTTTCTGAGCTTTCAAAGCATTTTAAATGTGTGTCTTCTTCCCAAACAACCCTCTCCCATGCAACAATGGGCCACGTTATTATACCCTCATTTGTGACCTAATGTTTCAAGTTCTTTGCTTTGAAACTCATTTGCACATGCATGGAGTCGGTGATGGTGGAGAAAGTAAATTAGTCTCCCAGACAGTTTCATTAAGACTTGTTCCGGAAGTAGAGCTGCAACAAATTGAGCTAAAGATTCAGTTTGTGTGTTTATTCTTCTGCTACAATCAATAGTGCTTTGTCTGCTTAATGCTACATGGATTGTCAACCCTGAGCCTTCCTCTTTTAAGTGGTGTGCCTTTTCTAGGATTGGTTAGCACTCATTAGCACTCCCTATGGCAGTGGGTCTCAACCTGTCTTCATGACCCCTTTGGGGGTCAAGTGACCCTTTCATAGGGGTCACCTAAGACCATTGGAAAACAGATATTTATACATTATGATTCATAATAGTAGGAAAATTACAGTTATGAAGCAGCAACAAAAATAATACTATGGTTCAGGTCATTTCACTCTGAAGAAAAAGAAAATTAAGATTTCTGTCCAAACTTCAATCAGGTGGTGCATTTCTTTTGATGAGTTTAAATTGTGTCTACTCGGCAGAGTCCTTCCCTGTGATGAGGACAGCCACAGACCAGTTTGTAGAGTCCGTAGGACAGTGGTTCTCAACCTTTCTAATACTATAACCCTTTAATACAGTTCTTCAGGTTTTGGTGACCCCAACCACAAAATTATTTTTGTTGCTGCTTCATACTCTACTTTTGCTACTTTTATGAATCATGATGTAAATATCTCTGTTTTCTGATGGTCTTGGGCAACCCCTGTGAAAGGGTCATTCAACCCCCAGAGGGGTTATGACTGACAGGTTGAAAACCGCTGCCGTAGAGCATGCTTCCAGTCCTAGGAGCCATTCCAGACCTGTGCAGGCCTTCAGAATTAAACCAACAAGTGGAGTAAAGCACAAGGAATTCTATATATCAGACAAAAATACAGAAGCATGGCAAGCCCATTTTTACTCAGAAAATATGGTCCCACATCAGTAGATACAGCTGTGATTTCAGAAATAGCTGACAGCATATACAAAGGTGTGTTTTTGCTCCAGTGTCTCAGGTGCTGTGGTATTCTCTCTGACATTAACCAGCCTCCATTTCCTCTCTGGGACATGCTGGTAGATGTGATAGCTGAATCAGTTTTCCCAGTCTTTAGAGCTAAGTTTGATTTTTCAAAGAATTTTTTGTTGTAGCTCACTGTCCCAATTTGAATGGATAATATTTAACTGTTGAAATGCAGAAAGCATATTTAAACAAGTTTCTTTTAGTGTTAGGGGAATATAAGATAGATGACATAATCAGCCATTCTGTTTGTTGATTTGTTTTCTTGCTTCATAAACAAAATTCTTGTTTTCATAATTTTACTTTGGGGTAATAACATCTGAGTTCATATTTGCTGTCAAGGCAGCATCAAAAGGAGAGAGAGCAAGAGGGAGGGAGAGAAAACCTGTAGGAAGGAAATGGTTCCTAGAAGTTGAAGATGTTAATGTCTTAGCACTAAACATTTAAGAATATTGAGTTTGGGTCTTTATTCATTATTTTCATTTGGAACAAATTAGCATTCCATCAAAAAAAAAAACCCAACAATCTAACTTTTGCTCATTAATGACAAATATTTATTTCTGATCATAATATTGAATTCCTCTGAGCAAACACACACAAATGGTTGTGAATACATTGTTTGGTCTCTCTTGGAGAAGAAAAATGTCTCCTTCCTCAGGGCAAGGAATCTGTTATTCCGTGCAGCTTTCAGAAGGGAGGTCACACATTTTCTTATTGATTTTACTTCCTATTTGGTAGCAAAATAATGTGAGAAGAGGCAGTGAGCGTTTCTGGCGACAAGCCCAGATGCTAAAAATTATGTGCCAGGATGTTGTCTGGATTCCATCTCTTTCCCAGAAACTTCATAGTAGATGAGCACTCTGTGCCCCTCATCGGAGGTACACTTTCAAGGTAGCTTTCTGGCACCCATTACTTAGACACACAGGCCAGTTAGATTCCAGATGTTGCCTGTACCAGCCCCACTGAGCAAGAGAGATGGCCCCAACCAGTCATCCCCTGGGACCCAACACTAAAGCACAAGGATATTATGGGTGGCAGTGATGCTCTTGTTTCCCTTTTTTTTTTTTTCCACACAGAGGTGGTGGGTGGGTATTTCATTCCCTCTGAAGGTTGATGGGATAGGAAAGATGTTTGGAATAAGTGCAACCTACTTCACTTGATCAGAGATGATTGTGCACATCCCTGTTCTTCAGGCAACATCAGGAACACCGAGAAGCTGAGCTATGACAAGCAGCGGCAGTACGAGATCCTGGTAACTGCTTACGACTGTGGACAGAAGCCTGCTGCTCAGGACACCCTGGTGCAGGTGGATGTGGAGCCGGTATGCAAACCTGGCTGGCAAGGTGAGCTCGTTTCTATCAGTCCTGCTCTGTGACGGCAGCTTGGGCTGGAGCACAGAGGGTGCTAGCGGTGCCCCCGATTCTCACGGCCCATGTCTAAGGGAAGTTTCAAAGTATAGTTGCTTTTCCTGTAAGAAATAGGAGTTTGTGTATTCTCACGACTCTTCCATGATACATAATCTCCATTTTACAGTTGCGAATGACAAAGACAACTCAACGCTAACCACAGTTCTCTCTTACTCAAATTTTATTACATTTCAGAGCCTGGGAGAAATTGGGAAGGTCTGTTGGCCTTACCCAAGAGTGCTGAGCCTGACTGATGGGCTTCATGTTCTGCGTCACTGCTCAGCACCTAGGGATGTCTGCATAGTCCTTGTGCATATCACATGGGAGTGAAAGAGAAGGACTGAGCCTCTGAGTGAGGGGGTTTCTGAAAGACTGGTGCATGGAAGGGAGGACAATGGCCCTCAGGGGACCTTCCTTTGGGGTCAGTTATATCTTTCAGGAAGCAAAGACAGAGCATGGTCCAGTCTCCCCAAGATGATTGACTGGGGGAAAGCATGGAAGTTAAGGGCGACTGCAGAGATGGCTCTTGCAAGAGAACTGAGTGGTCTTTAGAGTAATAACAATAGTTCTAAGTGACATGAATGGTGGCCAAGGAGGGATGCTAGTTTTATCTCTGTCTCTGCTCCGTTTCTTCTGCATACGTTGGAAATGCTTAATCTTAATTCCTCAAAACCCATGGTGCTTTGCAAGGTCACTCCTCTGTGGCTTCTGCTTACTTCCTTTTAACGATGTGTCTTTAAGCTTCTGGCCTCATTATTCTCCCCCTCTCTATAAGTCATTCATGCCTCTATCAAGCACACTGATGCCAAGCCACCCTGTTGTGTCAGCCACTCATTTTTAGTGCAACCCACCTCATCTGGACTGATCATTCATAATGCAAAGACACCTGTGGCTGAAGCACAACCTGGACTTGCTCTGCTCAGAAAACAGCTCTCCATAAGCTTTTCTACAGCACAAGTTGCACTTCTATAAACTTAAAGGAGAGATGAAAGCCCAGGCACTCATCTCTGGGAGAAGATAAAATGATAATGAGAGCCACAAGTGGTGTGTGTGTGTGTGTGTGTGTGTGTGTGTGTGTGTGTGTGTGTGTGTAAAACAAAGTACAGTCTGCTCGGAATTAAGCAATAAAGAAAGAGGGTCATGCTAGCCAGGACTAGAGGTTCATGCCTGCAATATCATCACCCAAGTTAAGGCAGGGGGGATTGGGAATTTGAGGCCAGCCTGGGTTACAGAGCAAAACTCTCTTTCAAAAAATCAATCCCTCTCCCCCAGTAATCCAGTGATGAATGAAGGAAAGAAAGAACAAAAGAGCAGAACAAGAGAGGCTGGAATAGAAAACTGTTTTCCCAGCTTCAGGAGCCTGAGCTCTGGTGGGTGTAATTCACTAGGAGGTGGGAGGCTGGATTCTGCCTGGTTTACTATTACTATTGCATTTCTCAGGCTTACAACAATGCCTCGCCCTAATGGAAGACGCTTAGGAAATGACCAATGAATGAATGAGTGAATGAATGAACCAATACCTAAGAAGTCACTATGTTTTATTTTAACTGGTAAAGATCATCAGTAAAAGCCTGGCCTTTCAAACGAAAGCCAAGGAAAAAGAAGCAGATGCTTTATAAGCATGGAGCATGAACACAACGGGGTTTTAAGTGGGAAAAGCAAAACAAAACATGAGGCTATATCTAAAAATAAATCAATAAATAGATAAGTAAATAAAGATCCCAGTACTTTTTGATTTTGACAAATGAAGCACCTACAGACTTTGGAGTACGTGTTCGTGCCTATATTTAAACATTATTTATAGAGTTTTGTACTTGTTAAATCTATGCAAATTTTGGTGTTAAGTGTATTTTTAAAAAGCTTGTCATCGTGCTTAATTTTGTGTGTGAAAGATGTATCGGGCACCTACTCTGTAGTATGTAATACTGCTGACAAGGCCCACAAGTGATCTTGGGCAGCCAGGGAGGAGCCAGCTGCCTGTCCTGTCGCCAGCACCACAAGAGGCTCAGGCAGGATGTAGACCCTCACAGTGTTAAGAGGATTAATGAATGGGCGGTGAGACCTCCATTTAAATAATAATAATAAAGCATTCTTCTTTCCTGGAACAAAGAGAGGAGGGAAGAATCAGTTCCCTGGATCAGTTCATGTCAAGCTGTGATTAACACATGTGTAATACTAGAATCACCTGCTTCCCGGTAGCTCCTTGCCTAAGCTGGTAGCTTGTGGTGGCAAATGCTGCCATGGTTTGTACGTTGAAACCCTATCCTTCCAGCTTACCTACTGCAAACTCCATCAAGTCCCTCCACCTACTGCCCCAAGCAGCCTTTCGTACCTGGGCTCTCTAGCTAACTGTTGTGTGCACAGGCGCACACACACACACACACACACACCATACCCCAGAGCTCAAGAGGACACCACTCTTGCCCACCTAACATCCTGGTCCCTGATATGTAAACACCTCTCACCTCTAGCCCTCCCAGCCTGCTCTCTCTTCTACCCTTGGTGAAGGCCACAGGCTCTCATCTATACGGAAGTGTTGCTCTTGGGAACAGCTGCATTCCTATGGATCTGGATATGCGTTTCTTGCTTGGTCCATTCTCTCAGCTTCACAGGGCAACCTAGCGTGAGCCATAGCTTGCTGGTTTCATGGCAGTCTGTAGACAAGGCGGGCCACCTCCTGGTGAGAGGTAGCAAGGTTAGCCTTTACCTGGAGCATGGCGGAGAGGTAAATATCCACTTTGTAGATGGGAGAGGAACCCAGAAAGAGCTTGTCTTTGAGGGAGAACAGTAGCCTAGCTTTTAGGAAATGGAGAAGGCATGATTGGAGAGATCGGAGGTAGGGTGAGGTACATGGCTGAGTTCTGGAAGTGAGGGTGAGGAGCCTCAGTGAGCCTCAACTCCTCAGACCTGAGAAGGAGTCTCCTGCACGTGCCCAGTGAATTCCCTGAAGTTCTGTAGTAGAGCACGGCCCCTCCCCAGCGCACTTCCTACTAGCAGCTCAAGCCAGCAAACACAGCTTGGCAGTTAGAATGCTTGTACCTGTTCTAAGCCATTTCCCTGCAGGCAGGAGGGGATTGCAGCACAGTGAAAGCAATCCATCATGTTCAGGAACCCTGCCTCTCCAGGAGCACTCCCAGTCTGCACCCCGCTGAGCCTTCCCAGCAGTCAGCTTCTCCCAGGGAATTGTCACAGCTGGGCAAGGGGACCTGCTCAGAGGTGGAGCCTCCCCAAGCCCACACGGGGGGGGGGAGGGAAGGGGGGCTGGAATCTGTTCCCAGACTCCAATGAGGGTCTACAGCAGTGACCCCGGATTTCTGTTACAATACGACACCCCCTTCCCAACACACACACACACACACTGCCCTGCTCTGCTCCTGGCCTTACCTGTGTGTAAGACACTGGCTCTACCTCCAGCTTTATCCCACACCTCAGCCAAGGTGTGTCATCCCCAGACTCTGGTTTCCCAGCTCCAGTCTCTTTTCCATAGGTTGGTCTTGTCTCAGAAGGGCAGGACTACACCTCCCACAGCTTCTGACATTGAACTTTCTATCACTTAGTCATAGACTAAAGATTCACTAACTAGCTTCACTTCCCAACGGGTAGAGGGAGGCTTACCCGAAATCCTGCTGACAGCAGGAGGAGGGAGGAAGGATTTGTATGCAAAACATGAACCCAGACACGCTCATTTATCTCACTCTTGAGGCATTAACACAGACAGACATAGTATGAAGGCAGCTCATACTATGGGGGTCGGCAGACTTTACCAGCAGGAACATTCCCTGTCACATTTGGACAAGGAAGAAGCATGAACTGCCTCTATGTTTTGCCCAACAGTTTGAGATCTGATGTGTTTAAAGGCACATCCAGTTGTGGGATGAAGGACTATATCGTGAACCAGCAAAGAGGTGCACACATAGCTCAGCACAGGACAGAGGCGGGCTGGCATCTTGGCTCTCCTGCAAGATGTGTGTATGAGTAGCAGACATCTCAGCGTGTCATTTCCCTCCTGTTGTTGGCTGAAGTTTTGTCATCTCACCTGGGTATCCTACAGGGATGCCATGCCTGTGTCAGTGTGTATTGTTGACATGAGCATGGCCATATCAAGGACCCTAAGACCTCAGACCCACGAGAATGACAAAGCCTTCCCTGGGTCAGGCTCAGGGAAAAGGCAGAGCCTTCCCCTGGGTTCCGGTCCATGTGCAATGTTGACAGCGTATGTAGGAAGGGTCAACAGTCGCTTCCTCTTCCCTGACAGTTACAGACTGCTCCATTACAGAGACACCCACCTCCTCAGGGAGAATGGGTAAGCCCGCCTCTCTTTTCAGCTGCATTCGATAAACCCACCTCCTCGACACAAGTGCGTAAAATAACCACGCTGAGTCTCCGGCAGCTGCTGCTGGTGCGTCTCCATCAGAGTGCGTGACCCACCCACTCCTCGATTCTTGCATGTCTGTCATTTCTTCATTCCCTGTCACCCCAGCTAGGCCAATACCTAAGCTGTGCAGGTCTCAAAAGATACCCACTCCTGAGTGAGAGAATTCAAAGGGTAGAGTGGAAGCTGTCAGCATAGATGTGGCAGTGACTGCAGTGCCTCCCCACGGGGACAAAACTCGGCCATGTGACCTCATGAACCCCTCACGGAGGCATTAATCTGTTCCTTAAAGGCTCATGTCTCTCTGAGTTGCTGGTCTGGAGGCTTTGTGTGTTTGGTTTCATTTTGTCTGTTATTTGGAGAAAAGCTGTCCTTGCCCATGCTTTCCTTTATGGTTCTTTCTGCTCCCTTGGCCACTCTGTGTTCTCAAGCTGACAGCATTATCTTCCATAACATTTACATGGCAGGTTATATAATTTCTACCTGGTCCTGCCAGGTGAGACTCAAACTCCACGGTCTCACTTCCTGTTGATGATAGCCCTACAGAAGACAGCACTGGAGATGG